CCCTAGGTTCATTGGTCCATTTTTGGTTTTGAAGCGTGTTGGTGAAGTGTCATACAAGTTGGAACTTACGTCACATATGAAAATACATCCAGTATTTCATGTGTCAAGATTGCAAAAACATGTATCACGACCCAAACAATCCACCAACCAAGCAGCACCACTTTCTTTTCCAACCTTGATAGCAGATCATGAGGAGTTTGAGGTAGAAAAGATACTCAAGAAATGTATTCGAGGTCATAAGTATCCCAAAGTAGAGTATTTAATTCAATTATTTTGTAATGATATATTAAAAAAATATAATTTCATTCATTGACAAATTTTAAGATGACATTACATATTTTTTTCTCAACTCATGTCTCAAATTTTTCACTTGTAGGTTGCAGCATAATCTTTAAAATATACCACGCTTCAATAGTTATAATGTAGTTGTCTTCCGCAATATAGAATTTCAGTCAAAGAAAATTTTTTCAGATAAATATTTGATGAAATTGAATATTTTATTGAGGTCAACAACGGTCAAGTACAGTCAATGAGTTTTGATTCAATGAATTGTGAAATTCCATCCAAAGATTTTCTGTCCATCCGCGTGTTTCAAGATTATAGATGATTCTTTGTGCTTGACTCTTTGTCTCTCCTCTTGTCTTTCTTTTAAGATCTCTCTTTCTAGCTCTCTTCGCAACATCAATGAATGAAATTCAATATTGTCGGTTGTTGTATGATCTTCACATGTTAAAACTACTGTTTTATCTTGAGGCATATACAAAGAAAAATGCATTGGAAGCCGTATGTACAAAACGATTTCCTCATTGACAACCATAACGCTTTGCATCTAAGCATGCCAACAACAACGAACTAGCAAATAGACAGGTCGTTCAAAGCTTGCTTCTCCTTCTCATCGTTAGTTTTGCGAACTGTAGAATCACATCTTTGCAATCTGCAAACAAGTCATTGTTCTGATTCTTGTCTCCTCAATCCATAGGAATAAAAAATCATCAACAAACATGTGGTGGTAGGAAATAAAATTGCTTCATCAATTGAGCTTTAACGAGAATCAAAACTGAAAGCAATCTTTGCAGCTCCAAAATTTCACATCCTACGATGATTGACTTGAGGCAATTTGATGAATGCATAGTCAATAATCATAGTTGATGATTGAAGAAGCTGAAGACGATTGAATTTCTTGATTTTAATAATCAAGAAGTATTATCCAATGAGAACAAGAAGCTTATCGTACTCTACTTGCAGATTTTGACTTCCATCCGATCCGTCAACTTGCGTCTTATTTTTTTGTTTTGCTCTGATACAAATTGTTGAAAAAATTCTAAAACACTTACAACATCAAAGAGAATATTACACAAACATAAAGTGGTTGATCTTGAAAACTACGTTGACAAAAATACTTGTTGTTTTACAAATAATGCTTAGTGTGGCGACATTGCTTGTCGCGCTAAGTAATACAATAGAAATCAAACTTTAAAGATGACAATAGCAAGTCAACATTTTAATCCAGCTAAATTCCTAAAGCCGAGAGTGATCTTGACATGAAATAATACTAACAACGTTTATATGATGTTTTGGATGCAAAGTGTTTGTATATATTAAGAAAATGATATAGCACTACTTGTTCATAAAATATATAACATATTATGATTCATAAATAAATCTTCAAAAAATTTAAAAGGTAAAAATAAAAATTTTGTATTCAGGTCTTTTTTAACTAATGTATTGAATTGTGCTACAATATATAGTGATTTCTTACCATCAGATTCAAGACTGAAAAAACTTTAATTTATAAAAAATAATTGCTAACATAATGATATTTTTTATTGCTTCTGTTGCTTTTAAATAATCATATTAGTAGTAACTCACTTCTCAAGTTAAACTCAATTTAATCAAACTTGAATGAGAGTTAATATTAGATTCAATCTAATCAAGATTAGATTTAGAGTTTTTGATAACATGTATATATAGTTTGTTTTGGACATTTTGTAACTTTTTTAATCCAAGATTGACAAATCACTTATTTTTCTTGTCAATGTTTTGTGTGCGTGTTTTTTGACATTTTTGTGTGAATATATGAATTATCATGTTTTTTTGTAAGAAATTGACTCTTAAAGTTGATTTGAACATATATAATGCAATATAAATTTTTAAAACACTACATTATTCACATTTAATTTTAAGCATATCTAATCTAAAAATATTTTTGATAAAGATATTATTAATAATCAACATTTGAAACACATTTCTAGTCTACAAATATTGTTGATGAGAATATTTTTAATAATCAACATTGACGTGATGTGAAAAATTATATCATCAAATAATAGAAATTTTTTTGATTTAAAAATATCTTACACCTCCTATGTTATCTAGCCATGCAATTTATATAGATTTGATATATCCTTTCTATCTTGGCATAGACTATTAAACATATGATTTAGTGGACATAATAAAATAAAATTCTATTTTTAGATTATAGAATATTACATTTTTTTACTCTTAATAAAATGAACTTAAATTCATATGCAAAAACTTCATATGTGTTGCCAAAATATTTTCAAATACTTAAAAATATGTCATGTTAAATCTCTCAAATTTTTATTTATGTATTTATATCATGTCAATAATGGATTTTTATCTTAATATATTAATCTTAAGTTCATTTGAACACTCATAATTTATATTCATATGAACATTCATGTCTGTAAAATTTTTTTGGAACATTTTTATCGTGAGAATGCAAAATTCAACTTATTCTTGCCTCTATCAAACTCAAATTGTTACTTCGCCAAAATAACCAAGTCATTTATGTACAATATGTATAAAATGAATTTAATTGTGTCACATAGATAATTATTAAAGATAAAATATTTCTTTATTTATTCATAAAATCTAGTGATTTCAACTAATACTAACTAGATTGATAAGCTTGTGTAATATTAAAAAATTGAGTCAATCACTCTAAAGCATTAAAATAGGATCTCAATAAAGTGATTTTGAATCTACAAAGACTCATGTAAATCATTTTTCTTTTTTGTTCAATCTATGAGTTTCATAGAAGTCTTATTTATCATCAAACAATTGATATCAAAGTATTATTTTAATTTTGCCATCGCCTTAATCTCTTTAACGTTTTTTTTTAATTCAAGTTATAATACTTATTGAATCTAAATTATGACATAGCTCTGAAACTTAATTACTAATTTTTTAGATTCTTCTAGAGATTTGATTGCATGAAAGCAAAAACTGTCTATAAGCAAAAACTTCTTTAATCATACATACCATAAAGACTGTTTTTAATATTAGCTTTGAATTCATAATCCAAGTATGTAGATACACAAATATCAAGAGTAATAATATTTGTGATTCAAAAATTTATGATATCAACATGTAATTGACAATTTGAACGTTGTTGAAGTGTAACCTACCAATGTCGATTTATGTAATGATAGTTCATCAGTCAAATTTTACAATAAAACAATTTTAGAATCTTATCTTCATTTATCTTGAAGTATACATTTTTCAAAATGTTTTTCCCACTACTTCTCTTATTTCATTCTTTCACGATGTTGGATGTTAGATGATGGACTTGATTATGCAAATCTTCTAATTACTTTCATCATTTTCAGTTTCATTAAATTTTTACTTTGTCATAAGCTTTAACATAAAAAATAAAATATGCATTTGCTTATCCTAGTGGAACCGTTAGAAAAATTTGCATCATTTATTCAGAATCAGACTTATAATGAAACAATTGACAACTATTGCACATAAGAAAATTTGAACGATGTGATCTTGGACATATGTGTGTATAAATTATATTTTTCATTCAATGCCATATATTGCTTTTCACAAAACTGCAGTGAACTTTAAGAAAATCATGAGGTATATTTTGACCAAGAACTTATTTATTGGCAAAAATATACTTCATGAACTTCAAACACCAAACAATCATGTAACTCTACTGAGTCTGTTTTTGAAAAACACCTTAGAATTTTAGAAGATTTGCTGAAGCAAAGATGTTAATGAACAATGATGGAAGAATTTGTTAATGTTATTCTAACATTTGATGATTCATTAGTTGGTCGAAAAAATCCTTTGTGCAAACTGAATTATAAACGTGAGCTGCATTGAAAACTTAATTAAGTACATTCAAAAAAAGTTAGAAGCAAAGAATATTCTAAGTGTGCATAATAATTTTTTATTAATGAAAAATAGTATGCATCTTGATTTGAGTTGATTTGAGTTGATCATTTGATAATCAACTCAAATGAACTTGTAGCATTTGAGTTGATCATCATTAAAAATGATTTTTTTTCAATAATTTCAAATAATTGAAAGAAGTTGAAAAATCTCAATTTGACAATAAAAATCTCCCTTGTGAGATAAATAATTTCATCATTATAAGTTTAATGATGTAACACAAGGAAAAGATGAAATATATTACATAAGAGTTACGATAGCATCATGCATAGAAATAAACCAATAGCATTATACACTACTAGGAAATCATCAAATTGAAATAGTAGAGATATTGAAAGAGATGGAAAATTGGTTATTTCATCGGAGTATTTAGAAAATAACATTGAAATTCAAAATGATCATAAACCGTTGTTTTTAAAACAATCACAAACAAATCTTTTGGAGAATCTCAAAACTTTAACAAGACTTTTGAATGAATTGATTGATAACAAGTTAGTAGGTGCTATTGTATTACTACTTTTTCAATCTCTGTCTTATTGATCATTGTGATTGTTTACTTTTAACAAAATCGAAATGTAGTCAAGTTCCAATATTAAGTCACTTTGAACTTATAACGTGGATTTCTCCGCTTTTTCTTTTTACATCCTACTCCAATATCCACAATTAATTATGCTGTTAACTCTGGTGAGTTGCTGGAATTTCTTCTTCCAACTGTAAAGTCTGCAGAATTAAAGGTACTTTCATTTGAATTGTTCCATGTTAGAATTCTCATTTTCCTCGCTCACCTCAATTATTTTTTCTCTTTTCGGCGGGTCGTGTCGTGTAACACGCTTGAAGACTGTACATGGGTTACTCAATGGGCATCGCCAGTCATTTGCCTGATCATCCTTTGTATGCTGCAATTTCAATCCTGGGCAGATTTCGATCCATTTTAAGATTCTGCATTGTCCTGCCGGGTATCGTAGTATTTAGTCGTAAGAGATGTCTGATGATGGAGCAGGTCGACGGAAAGGAGATCGATACGAACTCATGAGGGAAGAAATTGAATGCTACAAAACCATGGGATATGTGCATCTCAAAGGGGTACTATCAGAAGACGAATTGCACAATTTGGAAGAAGAATACATGTCGTTTTTAAGGCACGAAGTAGCAGTCGAAGGTCGAGATTTCTGTGACATGTCTGCAGATTACTCTAAGCCTCTGGAAGATTACTCGATTGTGAACATTATGCTCCCTTCCAAGTACAATCCGTGGCTGAAAGGAAATATTTACGAGAAGAGAGCAGCTTCAATATCCGAGCAACTGTTGGGACCGGACATGGTGTTCGATTACGATCAACTTCTAGCCAAACCTCCGGGTAAGTCCGATGGTGTGTTTCACTGGCACCAGGACCTTGCGTACTGGCCCGTTACGGACGACACAAGAACAGCTTCATTCTGGCTCGCAATTGATAATTCCCGGGTTGAAAATGGATGCATACAGTTTGTTCCAGGAACACATCTGGAGAAAAATTTGAGGTATCATGGACCTCTGCATGGAGATCGCGACAAGTCGCATACTTTGGCAGCTAGATTAGCTGAGGATGATATGCCTAAACCTGCTGAAATTGACAGAGGCGATGTGACTGTTCATCACGAGAGAACGTTACATGGCTCTGGTATCAATTCAAGCACTGATAGCTGGAGACGCGCATGGGTGGTGGCATTTCGATCTAAGGAAACCGTTGAATTTGAACGTAGTATAGGATTCACCCACTCACACAACGACAAACTGGAAACTTTGAATGCAGTAGGTCAGGAGAATACGTAAAAAAACAGATCCAGTACTGCGCTGTTTTAATAAGGAAAACTGTGCAGGCTCTTCAAATTCTTATTGATAAAAAACTTTTCCCTAGTTTACAGCATCATCCAACTAATATGTGAGGACTCACATTGGTTTCATATTTTGACATAGTTTCAATTATCCTATGTATTTAGTTCCTTGAAATAGTAGTGTCCGGACAAATTGTTCATTTTAAACATTAAACAATTTTTGTAGTATCTTTTACCAGGAGCCACCAATTCGAGGGGCTTCAAGTATTTCAATGACTGTTTTTATCTTGGGTTACCATTGAAGCTTCTTCTTCGGTCAGTTTAATGGGATTACAGGACTTTAGTACTTCGTAAGAATGAGCTGCAGATGACTGGGTCGTTAAGAACCACTAAACCAAGAGCAGGGAAAAATGTCGGGGAGAAACGAAGTTCCACATTTGGAGCCAAACCTCAGCTTGGGTGAGAATTGCTTTTCTAATTGCTTTTCACAGATGTTGTTATACAATTTAGTGGAGGGATCTGATGATTTGCCTTTTTTTTCCCGTGTGGGGCATGATGAGGAAGTCGTTTAGTCAGGGTTTCGTGCAATGAAACGCCATTGCACAAAGCCCTAAACCCTGATCACCAAGTTCATCCGCTTCGGGGATATGGCTTACTGTATTTAAACGTTTAAATTTCTTTCATACTACACGATCCACTCATCAGAACACGGAGGAAGCAGTATGGCATGCCAATACCATCCAGCGTCCCACACTGCAAGCAGTACAATGGAAAGCCTTCGTTTTTGAAATTGACATCAACACCAACAGGTTGAGGAAATGTAAGATCAAAATTTGGAGTAACAGCTTCTGTTGTATGTACGTAGATTCCTGTCGGTCTTTATTTTTTTTAGATACTATTTTTTGTTGTACCTTTTGGGTTTGCACCTTTCCCCTCGTTCCTATCTACCAGGCTGACAAAAGTTACTCCCATGGCACGCAGGAGCAAATGGTTTAGCAGAGAGATTTCATTTCACCAGTGGCATGGTTCGAGGACGCAAATATTCCTGGTTATACCACTATCCACAAATTTGTTGGACAACTGTTTCAGAGCAAACAATTTCTCTCGCCTTTCAACGTTGTTGCCTGGCAGGGTAACTATGCACTCTATAAGGTAACTCAGCAAAGCTCACAATTATCGCCTCGCGTAAAGCATTTCAGTCGGCTCAGCGGCGAGAGTTCAAAGTTTAGGACTTTGGACTTTACGCTATATGCGCCGATTAGTTTGTGTTAGTTTGTCTTATATTGGAAGTTGTAATGCTCAAGAGACTGGGATCGTTCATATTTACAGATTTGATTTGTTCTAATTTCACTCTTCTAAATTGATGATAAGTGTGTACTGTTTCTGTTAGTGCTTGAATACGACGACACATTGAGCTAATGACAGTGATTGATTTTATTTCACATACTGCGCAGGATGATTTGAGGAAGTTTTGCCCTTTCGATACAGTCCTCTTCTACCATGCAGATCCTTGATAAATAGAGGTGGATGTTCTCTAATCCCAACTGGGCTTAAATTTATAAAGTTCCATCATTAGAAGTTGTAACGTTCAGAACTCCAAAATGTCTGAAGCCGCTTTTCGTCAAGAAATGTTATCACAAAAAAGCGTGTGCTAGAGAAGGTCTGTTAGTGAATGTATTTGTTATTCTGACCTCAATAGCATGTTGTTCCTCTCAGTGCAGTCTTAACGGTGCCATCTGGAAAACCTGGAGTAGCTGTTGTGGACTTGGTAGTTTTCCTCCTCGCTGGCTGGTGGCAGAGCATACTTTCCGTCCCCCATATTTCCATCGCAATTGCATGAGTGAATTCATGGGTTTTATCTGTGGAACCTATGAGGTAACACTATTCTTCCAGGCCCTTACCCAGCATGGATCCATACATTATATAGCTCAGGGCATCAGTCAGATGTTTGATCACCGTGTAGCCTTTAAAGAAACGTGTGATTGGGCATGGAAGTTGATATTATGAATTTGCATGAATCATGAGTTCGCACGACTTTGAGTTGCAGGGCAAAGCAGACGGATTTCCACCTGGAGGTGGTAGCTTGTACAACTGTATGAGTCCTCATGGTGTAGATACTCCTACTTACGAGGTGAGATGATCGTTCTTACCACTCTAAAGGCGCAACATGTTACTTCCAATGCCACACTTAAATCTCAGGGCGGGTTTTTCCGATTTTAGGGGAGAGTGTTGTTGTATCTACTCCAATACAATAATTGGTGATATTCATTGAACCGCGCTTGTGGCTGATATACTCTTCGCGCGTAGTGGGTACATTTTACTAGGTTTTTTTTTGGGTTCAGTGACTTGAGAGATCATGATTCTTTCTTTGCGATCAAAGTTTTTATCCTTTTCTTATCGTTGCCTCTTTTGACCCAGCATTCCCATTCTAAACTCTACGCTCTTCACTTCAGAATAATCCGATCGACTGTTCCTCCTTCATCCCTCTTTTCTTCCCTTTATCTCCATTGTAAGTACTTGGTATGTGTTAACGCTAAGCCAGAGTGCTTGCAACATGGTTTTGAGGCTGACAGGCAGATACCAGTTCAGCATCCTAATTGCCTGAACATGTTTTTCTTATTATATGCTCAACTTTGCCCAGAATGGTACTTGCTTGTTTTGTATGGTTCATTTTCTGGTTGAGTCTAATGCAATAGTTGCGGTATGTTTCTTTTTTTATATAGATGCCACTCAAGCTTGCCCAGTATGTAACATGCTTGTTTTGTTTGTTCTATTTGCTGTTTCAGTTGTATGCTATGTCTTCCTTCATCCCTCCCCCAACTATGCGCTGCAAAAATTTTTCCTTCAACCTGGACTGCAAATTCGACCTCTGTTGTCTTGTTACACTGTATCTACTTATTAAAGTGGACTCGATTCCCACCCCCCCCCCCCCCCCCCCCCCCCCCCCCGAGTTCTTACCTAGCCATCTACATCCATATCTTTACTGAATGAGTTGTCAGTGACGTTTTCGGGGGTCTTATATCTGTTGAGTCTATGTAGGCAGACACTGATTACATTTGTGTAAGCTAATGTGCAACTTTGGTCCTCATGTGTCGGCAGCTAGTTCTAGTTACAGAGTCTGTATTTTGATGTACTTAACTTTTCTTTTACTACCACATGTGATTGATTTTATTACATTATGATATTCATTTTGGTTACTTATGATATGCTTGTGTTGGGAGCTCGTACTTAACCTGCTGAAACGCCCATTTGTATTTTATGGTTTTCAATTTGCTAATAGATTAAGGGGTTTGGAGTAACATGTGGCCTCTCGTAAGTTTGAGTGAACTTCGTTCTTCCCACATCAATTTTGATGTCTAACACATTTAACGCACCGATTCATCAAATGTTCCATCATTTTTGCAGAAAGCGATTTCAGAAGAACCGAGGCCATCAAAGATTGAAGGTGATACTCTTGCGTTCATGTTTGAATCGTGCTTGATACCTCAAGTGACGTTTCGAGGTACGGATTCTTCTAAGCGCGATCTCGATTCTTACAAAGGCTGGATTGGTCTGCGTTCGCATTTTGATCGCAATAATAGTCCTGAAGGCGTTCGAAGATGTACATAAGGATATGACGAGGTTATGCTCTGGAATTCTGTACATATCGTTATATGTAGTGTAAAGTCATGAATAGAATTAGTTTCTGATTTTGATAGCGTAAAATCACTATTAAGTGTTCAGTTTGTAAATATCGTTTAAATGTATGGTAAGAACCAAGCTGACATTACTGGCAGCTGGCACATACTGGTAATGTTGTCGATTACTACTTCTGGTTAATACTAGTCCTGGCTAGCTTACTGAGAACGTATATACGTGTTGTAGTGCACAATATTCATAGCGTCAGCGACATAAGGAAGAACTGAGCTACATCATAGTGTGCTGTCTCTCATGCTGTAGTTCTTGATATAGTACCAAAAACCTTGATAATGACATTCTAGCACTTCTGTATCATGGTTATTGTATCTTATGTGCCTCATTGCTCCCCATTTTGCTCTTTTCGTCTAGTCCATACTTCACGTAGCCTTATTGCGAATCAACCTTAATACTTACAATGCCTGTCGATACATATGATTATTGGTAATTTATACAATCTCTTCCCGGAAAGCTTGTACGCATGTATGTAAGGGCATATTGCCAAGATTGGTTGGAATTTTTCCTACGCGAAAAGTTCTAGGTTTGAACGGATGGATTTGGTATTATTACGAATACAATGGAAGTAAGATAAAACGAACTGGTTCAGGATTATTAGAACTGAGGAGTCCATAAGAATAGACCTCGATGGATTACCCTAAAAAGTTGTTGAGAATGTGCCAGGAACAGACTGTCGAGAGCTGGGAGAAACATGATGTTGGGACAGACAGATGTTGGCGCGGAGGAAGGTGCCGATGTGGAGAATTAGGCTTCACATCTTTATTACAGATTGGACTCAAGCCCAATTGTTGAGGTTGAAGACTTTGGGAGCAGACTTTTTTCATGGCTGGAGTACAACGTGTGACTGGAGTTGCCCAAATGAGTGCGATGAGAGAGAAAGTTTTCAGCAAAGGAAACAGGTGAAACCAGATGCATTGGATGTGATCATGGACAAAAGCGGCGGGCCCAAATATAAAGAGAACTCGAAGATCGAGTTGACTAGGGAGTAATAGGATTTTCAAGGGTGCGGTTAGCATTATCCAAAACCTCCTGCGCCCCAATAATTCTTATAAGCTCTATAAAATTTGAGCTGATGATCATTTAGAATTTTATATCTGAGTCTTATATCAAACTGATCCTATGTATATGACTAACTTTCTTTTGTCCCCCGGATTTAACAAATAAATACGTAATGGCATATGCTATCATGTCATATGTTATTATAGAAACAAGTATCAATCTCCCATAATAGTTATCCCATAACCATTCCTTCAGCGGGAGAGGGAATGATACAACGATCTAGCTTTGCATAAGGACAAAAAAGCGGAATCCGTGTTTACCCTGTGATCCGTTAAATAGAAAACTATGCTTGCCGTGACGACCCACGGGCTTTAAAATAGGGGTGTTATGGGGGACAGTAGATTAGATTAGGCAAAAGAACAAAAGTGGGTAACCAGATGAAAAAGCACAAATCATATAGTAAACTACTATGTTTTACTATTGTTTCAAATGAAATTAGAAACTTCCAGCGAGCTCCTGTGCTGAAATTGCTGGTTGGCATTGCATATGTAATCGATTTTGATGAGGTCAAATGGTTTGACTTTACGAGAGATAGTGGACAATTGGTTACAGATTGATGTGAATAAAGAGGTGTTTGCGAAAATTATCGTGGAGATATTTTGAATTAACTGCTTTAGTCAGAGGTACGAAAGATGTCTTTATGGATAAGATGCGGATAAAAGGGTTTCGTAAGATAACCCTTTCAGATCATGCGTGGGATATATTTTCGAAGAACGTGCAACATTTGGTTTTGTCTAAGCCGGAGGACCAAGGGCTAGGCACATTCAAGCATTTTGAACATCGAAGTGCATATTTGCATGAATGCGCACTTCGCTGAAAGACACGAGAATAGTTCAATACATAGGGTCCTAAACGACGTTACTGAATTTGTTTGCAAGGTTGCGGTTGACATCGAAGAATAGATTAGCGTATCAATTAGAGATGGCCCTTTCATATAGTGATAACCCTAGGAGTGTGCTGTAAGACTCTAGACATCAACCATACGTCAGATCAGTTATTGTTCTATCATGATTACAGGTTCAATTCAAACAAATTTCCTGCTGTAAAGTAGATTTTTGCGCTTTCGTCTTACTCCAGCAAACATAAATCACATGGATTTTCTTCTTCTAACCCTCACTCCCATATAAATATGGGAGTGAGGGTTAGTGTACCCTTTATATTTAGAGATACTTGCTGTTATAAGTCTCGATACATCTTAGGGTTAGGGTAAACCCTCCCTACCTTTAGAGATACTCTATCGGTGGGGTTAGGGTAAACCCTCCCTATATTTAGAGATAACCGATCTCAACTTAGGGTTAAGATAAACCCTTTCTACCTTTAGAGATACTCTGTCGGTGGGGTTAGGGTAAACCCTCCCTATATTTAGAGATAACCGATCTCAACACTCCTCTGTCGGTGGGGTTAGGGTAAACCCTCCCTATATTTAGAGATAACCGATCTCAACACTCCTCCTCGAACGATGAACTCCCTCATTAAAAAACTTCAAGGAGATTGAAGAAAAAGAGTGGAGTCATCGTTCGCATTCTAATTGTACTATTGTCTATAAGTTCTGACAAAGTTCGCATTCCTGCTGCGGCTATCAGTTTTCGATGCTGCGGAGCTGGTTATGCCTTGGTAAGTATATCCGCGATGTTCTCCGCGGAAGCTATCTTTTGCACTGCAATCTGGCTTGTCTCCGTGAGGTCCTGTGTGTAGCTGAACAAATGAGGACTAATATGCTTGACACGGTCTGACTTGATGAAACCAGAAGATACTTGTTCAATACAAGCTGCGTTATCCTCAAAAATGGTTGTTGGCTTCTCTTGGAGTGAAAATCCAGCCATCTCGGATATAGCGGTCTGCATGGTGCGAAGCCACACTGCTTCTCGGGCTGCCTCGTGAAACGCAAGGAGCTCGGCATGATTTGTTGAAGTTGCCGTGACTGTTTGTTTTGTTGATCTCCAACAAATGGGTGCTCCATTTTTTATGAAGATGTAGCCCGTTTGGGACTTGCCAGTCGTTGGATCTGATTTGAACCCAGAGTCGGCATAGCCTATGATATCATTCTGGCCACGGCAAAAATGAAGACCGAGATCTTCTGTTCCGCGGATGTACCTAAGGAGGTGCTTGATGCCTTGCCAGTGTCGTGCTGTGGGGCGTTGGCTGTGACGGGCGAGGACGCTGACGGCAAAACTGATGTCGGGTCGAGTATTTGTCTCCAAGTAGAGGAGTGCGCCAACGGCTGCTAAATACTTCGGTTTGTCCAACTCCTCCTCCTCGGCTTCAGCAAGACGATATGGATCATCGTCAGTCTTGCTCCTCCCTATCATAGGTGTTGATAGGGCATTCGCGTTGTCCATGTTGAACGTCTTCAGAAGCTTGCGAGCGTAAGTTTGTTGATGAAGAAGCATACTTCCATCTGCAAGATGAGTAATTTGGAGGCCAAGGCAATATGATGTTTTGCCTAATAGTTTCATCTCAAACTGTTTAGTTAGTATGAGTTCAACATGCTTGCTCAATGCTGGTGTTCCAATACAGTTCAAATCATCAACATATACTGCGAGGATCACAAATTGTTTATCTTTCTTCAAAACAACGATGCATGGTAAAGCAGGATGATTTTGAAAGCCATTAGAAATCAAATAAGACTTCAAGTGATGATACCATGCTCTTCCGGCTTGTTTCAAGCCATAGAGTGCCTTTCGGATGCGTAGCCCGTGAAAATGTCCTGGTTGGACTGTTGGTAGGCGTGGCACAAACTCTGGTGGAGGTTTGATATGCAGATCTGTATCCAAGTCGCCATAGAGATATAGAGTGACAACATCTAGGAGATGTGTTTCAAGTGATAGTTGTACAGCTAGACTTAAAAGATAGCGGAATGAAGTACTATCCATGACAGGGGAATATGTTTGGTCAAAATCAATTCCTGGTTTTTGAGTATATCCTTGTGCAACTAGACGTACCTTGTAACGAATTACGTTTCCGTGTTCGTCACGTTTTCTAGTGAATATAAGTTTGTGACCTATGGGTTTGACTGGAAGATCTATTACAAGTGGTCCAAATACTGAACGTTTGCGGAGAGATTGATACTCTGCATGTAATGCTTTTTCCCACTGTGGCCAATCTCGTCGCTTTCTAGCTTGATTTAAAGTAGTAGGATCAAAATCAGAACTAGTAAGACTGGTTACAATTGACTCAGGATTTGACCAGAGATCTGAAGGTTTCTCGGGTTGTTCTACTAGGAGTGCTGCTCGTGTATGAGTCTTACGTTTCTTGGGTATTAAAGCGGGCACGGGGTTTTCTGACCCAGGTAGTGGGTTTTGAATCATTCTAGGGCCGGATTGAAATCCGTCAAGGAACTTTTCGGCTAGGTTCTGCAAGTCTAGAAGTTTTCTAACCTCAAAATCTGTAAGTGTTGTTCGTGGATCTGGGTTTAAGGTGAGAGTCTCTTGGGCTCTAAAGTTAAGTTTCATATGGTTGGAGTGTCTAGCGCCGGGAAAACGAGTTTTTATGAATTTGCAGTTTTGAAATCTAGCTTTGTAAACATCATCTCTATCGGGGAACTTGTATCGAATAATACTCGGGGAGTCAAAACCAAGATATATACCTTTGATTCTATGGGGTTCCATGGATTTCATCTTTGGATCTGCAACAGGTACCCAAACCTCACAACCAAAGGTTCGAAGATGTGATATATGCGGGACTCGTCCGGATGCTAATTCTAGCGATGTATGAGTATGGAGTAAGGTTGGTCTAAGACGTAAAAGAACGGCAGCGTGAAGGACAGCATGATATCAATAAGAAGTTGGAAGTTTAGAATGAAAAAGGAGGGATCAGACTATGAGCTGAATTTTCTTGATAAAAGCTTCGGCTAAATCATTCTGACTGTGCTCGTAAGGAGCGGAATAAGTAAGTTCTATACCTGTCCCTGCGCAATAGTCCTCAAATGCCTGGGATTTAAATTCAAGAGCGTTGTCCATTCTAAGGAATCGAACTGGATGATCTGGGTAGTGGTTTCTAAATTTTAATAGCATCGCTAAGGTCTTGGGAAACACCATGTTTCTAGTGGTAAGAAGAGAAACCTTAGCATGACGTCCGGATGCATCAACAAGGATTTGAACGGGTATTTGAACTGACCTGATGTTGGACTGATTGGGCCACACCAATCACCTTGAAGACGGTGCAATGGTGCGGGCATCTCCTCCGGTAGTTTCCAAGTGGAAGGTCGTTTGATCTTGGATGCATGCTAGACATTCTCGAACATGCTCTACGTCGCTAGTGCACATCTCGTGGCCGGTCAGGAGCGGTATCATCCTCCGCATCATAGTAGTTCCCGGGTGCCCAGTCGGCTATGCCACAAATCCGCTCTAGCGTTTGTTGTCAGGAGGGATGTGGAGGCACCTTTACAGGGTAGGCTCGATCGCTTAGTGAGAGCGGTGTCCTCTTCCTTACCCGGTTGGGTAGGGCTAGTGCCCAAAATGGGCCGCGCATAGGCAAGTTGCCTCTTCCTTGCACCCGTATTGGTGGGGTTAACTCCTTAGATTGAATCTCGTACAGTGCTGTTATTCCCGCTTTAGCGGTGGCGAGAATCGTTGTCCCACGCAGGAGCTGTAGTATTTCTTCACCGCACTCCACCGCCGTGGATGCGTGGATATGGTTGGCCCGTAAATCCCGGTAGCTGATCAGACTCCGGGGGACGCCAGGGGCATACATTGCCCAATCGCATGTGAGGGGGGCCCCTCCGGGCAAGACTATTGTTGCCCGGCCCTCACGGAACACTAAAGTTTGCATTCCTGCGATTGTGAGTATGTCACAAGATTGCCACAGCTCGTTTTGAGTTTGGAACTCAAAGTAAGTCTGGTCTTTGAAAACTGAAACAGTGGATGCACTATCAAGGAGCGCGATATTGTCCTTGTTGATAGTACCATGACGCGTTATCATATAATTTTCTGGATCTAACTTGTCATGTAGTTACGAGTCGGCTCACGTAGTTTAGACACTTACTATATTTAGACGTGTAAATAGGGTTCGGGTCACGAGGGGTATAGAGTCGGGGACGGCTCAAAGAACGTTAGTTCCTCGAGTCGAGCCTGGAAGCGTTGGGAGCGTGGAGAGACTTTCCCCTTTGCGTCGACCTAGATTCTCCGAGTGTGGAGTGGGTTGGGCTTGACTCATGTTTGTGACGGTGACGGTTTGTTGCCAGTAGGGTAATTGACCGACGGGAATTCCAGTGGGGGATCTCCCGTTTATTTCACTCGAAGAACTCGTTTTCGTGACGTTTTGCGATCATTGTCATAGTTTCAAGTTTGTGTTTTTTCCTGTGTGGAATGTGCCATGTTGTGAGGATTTTTCCCCGTCGTGAAGAGTGGCACGACCAGGTGTAAACGCGGCATGGCATCGACGTTGCCATGACGACCACCTGCATCGACATATCATGGTGTTAAGGCTTTCTGAAGATCTGAAGTCGAAGTGAG